TTCATCACTCTGCTCTCCTCCCCACTGAGAGCTGGTGTGTGGGGAGAGGGCTGGAGCATCATCCAGTTTTCAACACCTGTAAAGTGCTTTGAGGGGTGTACCCAGACAAGTGCTATATAAGTGTAAGGATTATTTATCTTTTAACCCTTTCAGTATCTTCACCAGTGTGTTACTGTTTTCCCGCAGGATGTGGGGTTTGTGGCCATTGCCACAGGTGCTGTCTGGCTGCTGTGTTTCCTCCAGGATGCTACACATGTTATAGAAGCTGCAGATCACTGGTTTTAGAATTTTTAGTATTGAGTGGTTACTGGGTGCAGAGACGTGTTCGTTCTGTTGGGAGATGTGACACAGCTGTGCGTAGACTGAAGGCGCTTCCCTGCAGTACCTCTTAACAGATACAGCAGGTGACGAGATGAGTCCAGCTCCACATTTCCCAGGATTCGATCACATCTGCTCACACAGGTACCTTCGCTTCAGAGCAGGGGTGCTGAGAGCCAGCACAGGCCCAGGGCAGACAACCGTTCCAGACCCCTGCATTGTGTCTGACAAATGGTTTTAAATATACCAGAGTAATAAATGTCAAAACGAAGTACAGTAAATGACCGCGTTAATCGTGTTCTTGTGAATACCATGACAGCACACAATCTAAACATCACAGTAAACCCCATCAAACTGAATAAAGTAGGCCTTCGACAGTAAGAAAGCCAGAATATTATGGTCAATAACACTCACTATAGTACATGCCATTGAAAAAAGAAAAAACTGTAATGTAATTTGTAAACTACATGAACGTCATGTTCGCATTGTGCATATAAATTGTGCTAGTACCATGTTAAAATTACTGTGCAAACAATCATTAAACTAAAAGCACAGCACTGCAGTACAGTACCATTCGCACAAATTACAACAGCGCTGGATGCTGTCAAAGTCTCATGTTCTGGCAAGGCAGGCCTCTACTGCCAGTGCTCCTAAGCTGCTTAGTCGATTAATGTAGTCGATAGAAGCCACGCAACTAATTGTGTGGCTTGTTACGGTAATTATGTACTCCTAAATTAATTTAGATTTGCAACAGCAAAGGGTTTGAACACTTATACAATAATGACTTTCCCATTTTTCTTTTTAGATCATTTATTTACTTTTTTGTTTTTGTTTCTTTGAATGTGTGGAGTAGGCTGCGAATGTGACAAATACTAATTGCTACTTCAAAGTGTCATGGCTGCAAGTTTTAAAGCCACAAAATAAAAAAAAAACTGTCTAAACACTCTTGCAGGGCGCTGTTTTGGAAGAGCACAGGCAAACAGATGCTCAACAAAAACAAAACTCACTTCACTTTTTTAAATGCTGGCATTGACAACGTAGGTCAATAACACAGTCACTGATCGTGAGTTGGCAGTGAGCCACAGCTGTAAGCAGTTTCTGCCATCACTGTATTCCTCATCCCAGCTGTACTCTGATACCCACACACCTAAGGTATCCTGCCATTAAAACTCAGTGCCCCAGGAACACTTCCAATGCACTTCCAGGAAATTAAAAAAATCTAGCTTTCTCCTTGCAACCCAATGAGCTTAATATACATTTGTTTTATCAACACAAAGGATGTCCAGATTCCTTTCTGCACACACAGGGTGAGTCACTTCATAAAACCTAATTATCCTTTCCTGAGTCATACTGCAGCTGTAGGAGGTAAACAGCTTAATGTAGTGCCACTGTTAAAATTATTCTGTTTAAAGCCCACTAGCACAGCTATGCCTAATCTCTTGCAAATGGGCGGCTGGTACCTTCTGTCTCACTAGTGCTCAGACAGACTTTGACTGCACTATTTTCTAAACTCACTAATTGGCACACAATCCAGTCTTTGATTTCTCTGTACTGTGAGCTCAACTCCTTTGACTGTGCTATTGGCAGTGATAAGGATGTTATAAGGAGTTCTGCAGAATAAACAGAGACCTGAGCTGACAGTCACAGAGCAGAGGCAGGTGCTAACTGGTTGGTGAAGTGGGACGGTACTGTTTCCGGTACTGTTTCACTACAGGTCCAGCGTGAAATTAGCCGATGCTGAGAGCAGGGGGAGCAGCCGAAGAAGAGGGTCCAGAGTGCAGCAGGGCAGATGGTACCATTTGGATCATATGGTGATGAGATGGGATGGTACTGGATAACCATGGGGTGTGATCTCAGGGCAAACTGAACTGAACTCCTCTTCTAGGGGGGCAGAGCTACACTTCTAACACTCAGATCCAGCTCGCATGGCCACAGCATCTACTGGTCTTTCTGGTCTGGTGGAACCGGACATGTGGAGCTGCAGACCCCTGTGTTAAAACCAGGCTCACCTGTGTGGCAGCAGAGGTCTGGAGCTGCAGACCCCTATGTTAAAACCAGGCTCACCTGTGTGGCAGCAGAGGTCTGGAGCTGCAGACCCCTCTGTTAAAACCAGGCTCATGGTTTTGACTTACCAAAGAGCTGGGGTGGGACGCTGATCCCGTCGGCATAGGCGATGTACTTCCACTGCTCTGTCCTCAGCATGTACGTAGAGGCGTTGACATCAGAGCCATGGAACTCGCTCAGGACCCAGGTCGGGCGTGGGCGGCCCTTTGGGGGGGTGTCCCGGGACAGCAGGGGTAAGAGGGAGTGCCCACTCAGACCTCCGGGGAGAGGGATGCCAGCCAGGTCTGCAGAGAGAGCAGGGCGACCTCAGCTCACGCATGCAGAGGTGTGCCTGCCATGCACAGGGCACAGGCACGACAGACATGCTTTGAGTGGGCAGAACTTTGCCTGTGAATTAGTTCATGATTGTGCTGCAAATCTGTCAGCCCCCCTGTAACTACACATTTCCTGCTAGGAGGCAAAATGTCATTAACTAACTTCATTTCCGCCACATTTTGAAATCTTAATACAGTGATTTATTTTTCATACATGTAAAAGAACATTATTAGTCTTTACAGAAGGCTGCATAAAAATGATTATTGAAAGGTCACTATTGAGCACTTGAAAGAAAAGGGGTCACTGCGCCCAAGGTAGTTTATGCCTGTGTTAATAGGAGGCTTTTCGTTTTATAAGAACTCCTCTGCAAAATCACTCAGGGATGTCTCCAGGTCTAACATCAACACAATCAAACTAAATTTCTTCTTTTCATTTTTGTTCAAGGTTAGGACCTTCTGATCTCTGAAGAAATAGCACAGTGTTTCCCATTCTTAGAAAAATTAAATGATTACTCTCTCTCGCAATTATGTTATTTTTGTAAATGTCTCCCTGATAAAAGGCACATGGACTATAAATGCAACTGTAATAGGGTCTACAGGCTTACAAAGAAATGCAGCGTTGTGTGCTTCGTCATGAAAAGGCTAATAGCATAACACAATAAAAGGTGTCAGGCTCTTTGAGATAACTAACAAACCTGGGGCCCTGGCATTATGTACAGGACAGGGGAAATTATATGGACAATGTACATTATTACTACATTGATTAGAATTGGAGTATAATATTAACTGCAGGACAGTTTTTTCTTGTGATTGGACATAAGTAATTTTCTAGGAGCAGTTTTCCATCACAACTCTCTGTGAAGGTTGTTAAGGGAGCAATACGTTGAGGCTACTGATGCCTATTGTTCTGTTTTTCCTCATTCATAAAAGTTGCCATTATCCCTTCATCACTGGCGTCTAGGAAGAGTCCTCAAAGCAGAACACTAATACATTATCATGGAGATTGCATGGCTGATGAACAAGTGCTTTCCTGTGTCACATTGTACAAAGCTCAGGCGCAATCTCATCTTGCATCTAATGAGCTCTTTGAAACTTTTCAGTCAGGGTCTAGGGAGAGAGACAGCACTGAATCAGTCGATATTAGGACAGTTAATGATTAGTTGATGGGTTAACATTCCTCTCCTACTACATATAAAAGCAGGTTTTGATACCGTCCATCACAGAACTCTACCAGATTGGAGGGGAAATTATTTCAGGGTCACTGGTTCTGCCCTTCCTTGATTTCACTCCTATTTGGCAACCAGGAGTCCACTTGTAAAATATTGGCTGTTTATCTTTAATCTTGTCCTACTACTCATGGTGTTCCACAGGGGTCAATGCTGGGACATTTACAATTTATTATGTATTTCTTGCCACCTAGACAGATGATTTGCCTTCATCTACTTCTCCCCATAATTCGCTCAACAGAAGGTCTGAGAAGTCTCCTAAGGAGCAGCTTTTAAAGGCACAGCTGATACATTACCCATGCTTTAAAATTAAGGAAAATGCACAACTACTGTTTATGTAATAGAAAGTTGTAAAAGACATATGGCATCAAGCAAAAAGCAATGTTTTATAAGAACAGCGAGGCTTGGAAACAAGAAATGGGCATGCTGCCTATGTAGCTTGTTTGGTCTTTCAAACCTAATTGATCTGAGGATCTGAAGATCTCATCTGGTTGTTTCTTGGAAGGATCTAGGGTATCAGCTACAACAACCCTGGTTCAGTAACTTCTCTTCCACAATTTCCATGTGAAGAGATCCTTCCTGTTCACAGTTTTTAATACATTCACACTGTTATTTCCACTAGTGTCCACTAGTTTGTGTTTCACTATTGATTCAGAAGAAATCTATTGGGTTGACTATTGGCCAGTGCTTCTTTGAGGATTGTAAATACCTGAATCAGATCCCCTCATCACCTCTGTTCAAGACTAAAAAGATTTGGTCTTTTTAGCTTGTCAGTGAAGGACATTTCTTTAAACCCCAGAATGTTTCTGGTTGATCTTTTCACTGAATTGATTCCAGAGCAGGAATATTTACATTGTAATGCGGAGAACAACCCTGACTATGATATTCTAAAAGAGATCTTACAAGTCCCAATTTGATTCAATAGCCCTTTAAAATATATGCTTTTAAGAAGCATTAACAAGTGGCTGGATGGTATTCACAGCTAACAGTCAACAAATATCTAAATGGTCTCCTGCTTTTTCTTTCTGTTTCATGTTGCCTGCCTGTCTAAAAACATAGGCTGGCTGGGGAATTTCCAAGGAAATTATGTACTGTAGCTCCATAAATTATGAACCATCTGGTGTCCACTCATTTGGAGCTGTTATCTACTTGGATATCCCTGAGTTTGTGGGCTGCTTATCTCATCCAATGCCTCAGCTGTCCAAGCACACTTTACCAGATATTCTCTCCCCTCGACAGGCAGAGAGGCTCTCCAAGACACAGGTCGGAAAATAACCGGCCTACAGACCTGAACTGCTCCAAACACAAAACAGTGTCTTATTACATTTGTATGAGTTGGGATATACTGCCAAAATGCCAAAATGCATTTCTAACCTCAAGTAAATATACTGTATATGCACAGATACAACTGCAGTCACAGACAACATTTTGGGTACCCATCATTTTAAACCATCTTATTCAACAGTTCACTTCATTTAATGAGCTCTGCTTTTTCAAACTTCACATTTTCCAGAACACATGATGCTGTGGAAGCGCATATTAAAACCCAGAACAGGAGCCACTTCTTGACATAAAGGGCTGTGGGAGTGTGGGACAAGCGCACCAGTAAGCTGTCGGAGTCGATGCTCTGGCTTCTTCCAAGAAACAGTTGGATGATGTCCTTGGATTAATTATCTGGTGGCAACCAAACACACCAGATGGGTTGAATGGCCTCCTCTTGTTTCTCCTCTGTTCTTACATTATTTTAAGCATTTTATACTGTGGAATTAAAAGATGGTTTTCCCTTAAGTGAAACAAGAGCTGTAATTTCACTACAGAGGGTAATATTCTAAGGATATGACCTTTTATCAATAGGTACACATGCAAAAAAACAAACAAACATGTTGTAAGCATATAAGAGCAAGAGTCGAGACAGCAGCAGAATCGGAGAGAACCGCTCAGGGCTTACCAAGAGCTGTAGGGTAAATGTCCACCAGGGAGACGGGCTGAGGGACCTGCAGCCCGGCTCGGACCCGGGGCCCCGTGACGAGCAAGGGAACGTGGGAGCTGCCCTCGTACATGCTCATCTTGTAGAACTGCCGGTGCTCCATGGCCAGCTCGCCGTGGTCGGAGGTGAACAGCAGCACGGTGCTGGAGAGGAGCTGGGAGTCCCGGAGCGCCAGCAGGATCTCCCCTGCAGTGAGGCAGCAGCTGTCAGCAGAACCCAGTTCACCCAGTTCACCCAGTTCACTGGTTAATTAAGAGCTGACTCACGCTCAGCACCTCGGGGCCCTCAACAACAACATACAAAATTACACAAGAGCAAGCAAAAAGTGCATGCAAGAAATATAATACTTAACAGACCAGCTGAAAGACTGCTCACAAATGTCTTCAACAAGTTTAAGAAAAAGCATTATCAGACTCTAGAGCTGATAGACAAGGGAACGGTGTCAACACGTTCACAGACAGGAAAGTGCTTGGCCACCCCCCCAGTTTTCAACCTGGTGTGTGGCACAGACAAGTACCTGCACAACGCAAGACATGAAAGGGAGGAGAATCAGGCTGAAAACAGGGCCCTGGAGTACAGTGGAACAAGCTCGTTAAGCTTGTGAAGTTGACAGTAGCGTGAGATCCACTCAATATTTCCCAGGTAACGATTGCAGCGGCTGTGGCAGGGACAAGCTCCTCAGACACACACAAGCAGTCCCTAAGTCTTGTCCTTGCTCCTGCAGGCTCCCTGCTCCATGAGTCTGCTACACATTGGGAACACTGTGCTCAGTCCCCCTGGATTCCATGACAACTGTACACTAGATCTAAGGAAAGCAAACTACCTGAGGTCTAAGGTCAAAGGTAGGCAAACTGCAACCAAGACCTGTCCATTCTAATAAAAACATGAAAGTTACATAAGCTTTGACAGGCATGTCCTGCAGGCTTCGTGAAATGGCAAGATCAGGCTAAAGAGAAAATTAGCTTCTTGTAGAGTCAGTGCATGTCTGGGGTGCTGTAAACAGGCCTCTTCAAATTATATCCTCCTTGCAAGATAATCCATTTTAAATCAACAGTGTAACAAGAACGCGACCTTAATCAAGGAGCAACAAAGAAGAGGCTTTTGAATTTAATCATGGTGATTATAAAATAACACAATCCAAATTAAAGACTAAAATAAGCAAAACACCAGCCTCTTGAGAAGTTCCAGCAGTTCTAACACAACATGAAAAACAGGATGAGGGCTTCAAATGAGTGCAGTAAAACAACATGAGGGCTGAGGCGAGAGGTGTGCTCCAGGCAGCTGGCTGAGTGATTGACACTTTCGCCAATCATTTAATCAAGCCTCCTCATCAGGCTACCTCATGGCCTAATCAGGTGTGACCAGGTGTGACTCGCCAGTCACAGGGCTAAATGAAGCCAATCTTGTAAGCACAGAAAAGCGTGACAGATAACAGTAAAATATTAAAGGACTTTTCTACGTTAGTTTGAGAAAAATACACAGAGCATCTCTATGTTTCGCTCACATGCGCATGAAATAAAAACTTTTTTTAACTTCTGACACAGACTCCTGACTATCGTTCAAGGGGAAAAGGGGGAAAACGGGTAAACACTGCTAAAACAGGTAAGCCCCACACTATTGGTGAAGAACTTTGTTTACCATTGGCAAAAGAACTGACACGTATTGTGTGTGGAGAAAAAGCTGCTGCCCCTTTCGAATGACACAGTCACTCGTAGAATTATTGATATGGCAGATGAGGTCAAAAGTACGCTGACAGAGCGCTTTAAGATGAGCAGGATGCTTTTCACTGCAATTAGATGAGTCTGTAGATGTCGTTGATTTGGCCAATTTGCTATTTTACGTTCGATTTTGAGGGCACGTCCCATGAGGACTTTCTGTTCTGTAAGCCGCTACCAACACCTACAGGAGAGCACATATTTCAGCTTCTGAATGAATTTATCGAAGAGAACGGCATCGACTGGTAAAAATGGTGCAGAGCGATGACAAGCCGACACAGCGGTGTAGTTGCATGAATTGGAGAAGTTGCTCCAGATATGAAGTGGACACATTGCAGCACCCACCTCGAGGCCTTGGCCATCAAGAAAATGGCTGAGGATTTAAAATCTGTATTAGACTCTGTATTCTAGACTCTGTATTAAATCTGTATTAGACCGTCAACGTTGTGAATTGTATCGAGGCTCGATCAATGAACTCAGATCTGTTCAGTGTGCTTTGTCATGTGGCTAGTCTACCTGGTTGATACATTCTCACATTTGAATGAGCTGAATATGGGACTGCGGGGGCTCTCTTTAACCATTTTTGATGTGTCTGACAAGATCACTTCTATGAAGAAAAAGCTGCAGCTTTTTGTTAATAAAATCAACACACGTGATGTCTCTGCTTTCTCAACTTTGGAGAACTATCTGCACACGTGGTGTGCCACTTGATGCTGCTGTTCGAGATGTGATTGCAGTGCACCTCTTGTCATTGGAAGAACAGATCTCAGTGTATTTTCCAGTTGAGGCCACACCACAGTGGATCAGGAACCCCTTTACTGTTGATGTCGTAGGAATACCCAAGGATCTGACCTGTGCTGAACAAGAGAAGTTGCTCGAGTTATCATCTGATGCGACTTTGATGTCAGAATTGAAACGATAGAGTGAATACCGAGCCCTTTCATTAAAGGCTGTGTGGTTTTTGATGCCTTTTGCTACTAGTGTACCTACCTTTGTGAGAAAGGCTTCTCTGCTCTCACTGCAATCAAGACAAATTATCTTTTCACAACAAAATTGATGCTGAGCCAGATCTGCGTTTGAAGCTCCCTGCCCTCGTCCCTGACATCGCAAGGCTTTGCTCGAGTAAACAGGCTCACCCCTCTCACTGAAATGGTAAATGCTCAGTGCTGTTTTTATCGTATGTGTATGTGAATGTGTGTGTGCACGCGTGAGCTCATGCTGGTCATTGAGATTTTCTGGGGTTCCTATGAGAAGATGGCTTGTAGGTACTTGGATGCTTTGGGTTGATAAGGGGTGGTACTTGGTCCAAAATGTTTGAGAAACATTGGTGTAAAGCACTTTACATGCAGAAAGGTCAGTCAGTGCCAGTGCCAGGAGGAAAACCAAGAAATTACTTCACCACCCATTAGACAGTTGGCGCAGAGCTCCTGTCCTGGAGAGCCACAGGTCCGTTAGTATTAGTATTTTTAGTTTCTAGGTTTACTTTATGTATTGAGCAGGGCCAGTGCACAGCTCTTAAACTGCACCAGTTAGAGTTAAAAAAGCTAATTGATATCTGTAGTCCCCGGGAAAGACACAACCAACAAAATGGAAATGAAATAGAAAAAGATATATAAAAACATCTCAAAACATATTGGATGAAAATAGATATTACAATTGGTAAAGTAAACGATCAAATCAAATAATGGCATGTTAAATTAATACATTTCCTGGAAGTTGCAAGATTGACATTAGAAGACAAGTACCTATCAAGATCAATGACATGATGTCAGACATCAGAAGGTTAATGATTGCAAGATTTATTTAAATCCTGTGAACTTGAACAACTTCTACTCCTCAAAGCACAGACTTTCACCTAATGCTCCCTAGATTCCAAGGCCACACCGGTGTCTTCAGGTGTCTTTTAGACTTGAAGATTAAAGAGTCAGTAAGCAGATGAGATTGTACAAACAGAAGTGATTAGCCTGGGTCACTGCTGCGTTCCCATGAGGGCAGCACGCTCCACAATATCATGTCGAGGAGGTTATTCAGCTCTGAGCTCCCAGTGGCAATCTCGCGGGTGTGCGCTTCTGGAGATCTTGACATTTTAGAACGTACGTGGCAAGGTGCACAAATGCATAAGGAGGCACTTTGCATATCAATCATCCCATTTTCACATCAAAATGCCTTCTTTCACCTCCCATTAAATATGCTGGTAGCCTTGTGAAGAGGCCGCTTTGAGACAGAGGGGCATGACAAACTGCAGAAAGAGAGCCTCTGCTCTGCTCGAGTGCACCGCTCCCGAGCTGGCGGGTCTGAGCGCGAGAGAGAGGAGCAGGTGGACGAGTGGACCGCAGGGCAGCTTCTGCTGCTGAAGGGCATAGTGTGAGCTTACCCGTGAATGAATGAACTCAATCATAAGGGCTGATCTTAACTGGACTGAACACGCAGCATTCTTATGGCCGGAAGAAGACTGAGGACTACAGCCGTCCTGGGGGCCTGAAGTCCTTAAGAGTGCAGGCCGGGATGAACGCAGGAGCATCCAGCTGTGCCCAAGTGGCCGGACGTCAGCACAGGGCACGCTGAGGAGAAACACCTGGAGGGGACACGCATTGTCCTCTTCCTCCGGGTCCACCGGAGGTGGAGTAAGAGGGCAGCTGGGCGGGCGAGAGGAGCGCGCGTGGCTGGGGAGCCCGGAGAGACGTGTGAAGGGTTAGTGGGTGGCGTGTGCAGGTGGGCGTGTTTAGTGTCCACCCCTGCAGGTACGAGCCGAGCAGCGCAGCACTCGTTGGCGCCTATTTGAAATGAGCTGTAAGTCAGCGACTACAAAGAGGTCTTAAAGAAGAATCAATTCTGCTGGGAACCCAGTTAACACAAGTCTCTGGTTGGAGCTCCCAGTAGGAAGTTAACGATGGTCTCTTTTATAACTCCTTCACTCCTTATACAGCTCTCTAGACACATGCAAACAGCCCTTTCCACTACAGCTGTAGTTACAGGTTACTTTTTTCAATCCAAACCAAGAGCTTATTCTGAATGTTGATTTTGTTAACTACTGCATTTCAGTAAGACATTTAAAAGTTATATCTGTTTTGTGAATTACATTAATACCCAAAATAATTACGTTAGATGATATTATGTTACGCAACGGTGATGAAGCTCAGTGTGTGGGAAGAAAATATTCTGTCAGCAGTTTTCAGGGGACTAACAGCTGGTAGATATATTTACTGTACCCCACGACTTCATCACCAACACGAAGACCTGTTTGACTCCTTAGTCTAGCTTGTGAATTCGCTCCAGCCCTGGACAAAAGACCGAAAGATATGTAAACGTGCAAGGCTTTAAAATTTGTCAATTATTTTTTTTCATGTAAATGAACTTGCTCACACATCACAAAGGCAGCAGCACCGACTCATGCTAACCACATTCTCAAAGACACTGAACGAGTCGCACAAAACTCGCTTATTCCATGAATGAGCAGCGAAACACAAAGCAGAGGACAGTAAGGGGAACAGCATTTTAAACCGGGAACAGCCGGCATTTTTTGCACAAAGGGGGGTGGGAGAGATGAACAAGCCGCCCGGCCACATTTGTGAAGCAGATACTCTGACCTCCTTCAAGAAGCGCCTGGACGAGACGCTGGAATCAATCAGCTTCTAAAATTAAAAACAGTTAGCCTGACTGGCCATTTGTTTGCAGGCTTTCAGATATTCCCAACGGTCAGAACTTGCTTATACTCCAGCTGGTGTAGCACTGTGGGAGTGGGAGCACTGGTGTGAGGTTAGCAGGACCGAAAACACCACAAGAAGCAGAAAGAAAGCCGTACCACCGTGCAAGGACCGCGACCTCCGGGCTGGGCTGACCCTTCTCAGCGGGGTCCAGTCTGGAAGAGCAGGGAGCACGAGGCCAAAACAAAACAAGAACCCGACGTGTGAAAGGGTCAGCCTGCCCCGGCAGAAGCAGGCGATGGGACAGGCAAAGGGAAAAATAACAACAACGGCCTTACGGGGGTACAATCCCCCTCCGGGACTGCCGGTGACAATAAACCGCCCCTCGTCCCGCCGCGGGGTGTCCAGTGTGCCCTGATAGAGCGCTCACAGCTGGGGCTCATCCTCAAGCTGCCAGAGCAGCTGGGTCGACCCGGGCTCCGCCACCACACTGAGCACAAGAGCACTGCTTCACAATCACTTCCCTCACCTTGCCCCTTTCCACGAGATTCCTATCAGCACGCACTAAGTGAAGAAATAACACTTAACACGTGAAGAAATAACACGTTTAGAAGCACGGAGATGCTGCTTGGGAAACAACAATGCCTGCAAACCCAGAGTAATCACACCATGCAACACAACACAATTTTTACTCATACAAAGGCCCTTCATGTCGCAGCATCCCACACTGCCTCAGAAGGTGAAAAACAGCAAAGCGCCTGAGCACATCTTCACTCCAATCAGTTACACAAAAGAACGCCCACGGCTTCAGTGTGAATTTAAGGTCTGTAGCTTCTGCATTCTTATCAGCTGGGAGTGAGGGAGGACCGCAGGCAAGGAGCACAGCAGCTGATGGCTCCAGTCTTAGCTGACTGAGGTCACTGTGTGGGAACAACCAGCACATCCTGTGATCTTAAGCAGCAACAGGCAGGGGCATTCCTCAGGGCGGGAAGGCTCAAGCCTGTCAAGGACGACACAGGTTTATGTGTTCATAAAGTGAACCACAGCCCACAAAGGGGGCCTCATAATGTTAAATCACTTCTGTGACTTTACTGACTGTTCTACAGAAATAGACTCTATAGACTTTAGCAGTGTTGCTGTTGCTGTTGTAAAAAACAAAAAGACTGAAAATCACTGTCCACCGATTCCGAATTCCTGCGGTTTGCACTGGGCTTTACGGGCCGGAGGGTCTGTGTGCCCCTGTCCCTCATGACCAGAGGACATCCCTGTCACTCAACAGAAGGGCATGCATGCCCAAAGACGCTGACTGGCCCTTGCAGAGCTGTCAGCTGAGAAGGAAACATCACAGCTTTGGAAAGTGCGGTACGAGCAAATTGATCAACACATAAATGAAACCATTTATGAAAAAACTGTTCTACGTTTTTTTTTTTAAAACCCTTTGCTGTAGAATCCTTGCTCTGGAAGCCTTTATGTGGAACTGCCAGTTCAGGACTCTTGAACAGCACTGTGATGGGCTATTTTGAACGTGTCCCTGGCTGAGGAGCCAGTAGGAACAATGACTATGATGATGATGCTTCTATTGCATAACAAAAAATGAGAAAACCTGCAGATTTACATTCAGGAATACTTTACTCATGCTTCACACGCATGCTGAAGGTTTAAAGAAAACGTCACGCACTTAGGCTGGGAGGCTCAGCCAGCAGGGAGGGGATCCAGGTTCTAGAGGCTGGCAATGATAAACGTGATGATAAGGGTAATGATAAATGAATTTTCGTTTGCATGAAAAAGGCACCTCGTCGACAGACTCACCCAGCATGGCGTCCGCCTCTGCGCACATGGCGTAGTAGAAGGTCCGGATGTCTTTCAGCTCCTGCTCCGTGAAATTGCTGGAGCAGTTCTTGGTGTAGGTGGAGTAAAAGTCCACCTGATGCATCCGAGAGAAAGGCAGCCATGTGGGCACGGTGACGAGATGATGAGACACCTGCGATTAATGGAATTAGAAGCACTAATTACCAGCACGGCTCACAAGTGCATATTCACTTTTTCAAGGAAAGCACTGCGTTCTTCAGCCTAAAGGAAAAGACTAACTGTGTTAACACAGTACACATGAGTCATCTGCACCACGCGCAGCTGCAATCAAAGAGCTCACCTTACCGTTTCAGTGAATTACAGCGCTCATCTGCAGCAGAGCGTGGTGCCCGCTGCGTGTTGGCTCGCTGGCCAAATGACAAGGTGGCTCATAGCAGCCAAACATGATAAAGTTTTTTTCTCAAAGAAATGTTACTTTTCCTTCCATAATGCCATATTACCCCTGTCCATCCTGAACATTTCAGCCTTGGAGACTTCTTCAGGTGAACAAGGTTGACACCTGAAGAAGGCTCCACAGCCGAAACGTTGCGTTTTCTTTCTTCTCTTGGAATGGAATAAACCTGTTACTTGTTCCTTTGCAGCCTACGCATGCTGACGCAGCTCCCCACCTGAATTTTATAATACACAATAAATACATATACCTGTATAGACTATCTAAACCTAGATAAAAAAGCAATTTATGGTCGATAGCAAAACTTGTTACATCAGTCAAGTCAAATACAATGCCTTTTCAGTGCAAATCAGTAGACGTGGTTGATACATTTCAGTATTTAGGGACTTTTAAGGCCTGCACTTAAAATATTCAGG